TATTCTTGAGAAGATCTGAGATGAGCTCAGAGGTTTTGGTACTATCATTGTGGAGCTGGCATTTGATGAGATGACACGACGACAAAGAAAGGAATGCTGGCGGTGAGTGCCAAGAAAACAACATCATCAATTTCTTAAAAATCTGCAGGGAAAACAGAATAAATGGGATCATAGAAACAAAGGGAAAATAATTTTAAGGAGGAGCCAACAACCTAAAGAGCTTCAAAAACTTAATAAGATAAAAACTAGAAAGAAAAAGTCCATTTAATGTGGCAACAGGTCATAAATGACCTTAAATGACAGTAGCAAAAGTTAGGTAGCAGGAATCCCAGGAGTGAAGGAATGAGAAAGAAGAAAAGGCACGAACAGACCACTCTTTCCAGAAAATGTACTGATACAGGATGTAAAGAGCTGTACACAAACTGATAGGTAGATATAAGCAGGGATGTTTATTTTGTTTTCTGGTTCTATTGTGGAAAAGGCTTGTGCATTTAGTTTAAAAGTTGCCATGTCTATAGGCTATGCATATAATGGGTTCATCTTAGCTTGTTTGGATTAATTGCAGCTTATCTCCAGAGCTACTGACCCTTGGCCAACACTATGGAATGCATTAAACTAAAGATAAATGATGTTTTGAAACCATGGGTCTGTGAGTTGTTTCAGAGCAGGATATATCAGCCTGCCAGCACTGTTTAGTAATAATAATTGGATTTATAATTACATCTAATTTCGATAGAGCCTGGGGGAGGGGAACTTTCAAAGTTAAAGCTGGAAACATAGCTAGAATATATCTACATGAGGAGTTCATTACAAAAGATCTCCACCATGAGCAGATTTGGGTTTCCTGCTGCAGAGTGTTTCAGATGCACACCAATAGTGCTTACAGACCTGTCTGTACAGACTAAGAGCACCCGTATGACCCAGAGGTGGGAGAATAAAGAAGTATGTGCCTGTGATCTCTGGACACCTTTCCATGCATATCTTTGTTGTTTCTATGCTATATCCTTTGCCTATAATAAAGTTGTTCTGAGAGCACAGACAGTAAACAGAGTTCCCTAAGCAGTGGAACACTAAAGGTAATTAACACATAATTAACACTGGCTAGCATAATGTTAGCAAAAATACCCTGTTCTTTGTCAGTCTGTCAAAGAATTTGTCAAAACTGTGATCTGGGGGCTCAACAATTACAATTCCTGAGGATAGTTTTCTCTTCAGGAAAAAATTTATAAAGTCTTATTTCCACAAAACAAATTTAAAAGAAAAATATTATCCAGTTTGTCTGTGAAGCATCTTACTAACCATCAGTGATATCTGACTGACTGATTTTCCATGCAAAGTATTTCATTAGTTTATTAAGAGAAGCAGTCCATTTTAAGTACTCATACCCTCTTGGTTGTATTCTTCCACTGCCTTTTCAACCATTTCGTCATCCCTCCACCTTCACCATGTGATTTCATATGCCCAGGCACCTCATCCGTTTCATTGGCTTGTGCTTACATCCAAAGTTTTTCCGGCATCCCAATGATGGATTAAATCCCCTCAGTTCACACTGAAAGGTCTTTTAATTATCTCTGCTCACATAAACATCCTATAAGTACCCGGGAAAAGAGACCAGATGGTAATGTTCATAGATACAGACTAAGGTGAAACAGAGGGATAGAGTGATGAAAGTAGATTATCAGACCGTTTAATCAAGTGCCAAGGAACGTATCTTTTAAATCTGTAAGATGTGGAATTAAATTCCAGATGGGCTCCTTATCCGCTATATGACCTTGAGAAGACTACTTCATGTATGTGAGCATCAGTCTCCTCCTCTGGAAAATGGTAAAAACAGTAACGTCTCAAAGTGTTATGTGAGGATTCCAGGCCAGCCGGCCATGTTGACAGCCTCGCCTGGGTGTCCCGGCCCGGGCCTGGGGCTGTGTTCGTGGGACCAGCGCTCAGGTGACCCTCATCAGGGAGGTTCTGGGGAGCACCAGGGGTTCCCCAGATGGGCTGCCCACCCAAGTCAATGGGGTCCTGCCCCTGGTCCTACCCCAGGCCCAGAGAATCAGAATCACACAGAACTGCCCTGAGGAAATCTGTTTTTCAAGATGGCGCCGGGTGATTAAAACAATACTGATCATAACGATGAAAAAAAAAAAAACAAAAAAAAAAACAAAGTGTTATGTGAGGATTAATATAACATACATATGCAAACTTTTTAGTCCACTGACCAGCATATAATAAGCGTTTAACAAGCCGTGATTTAAATTCAGTGAATGAGGGGCTCCTGGGTGGCTCAGTCGGTTAAGCCTCCAACTTTGGCTCAGGTCATGATCTCACGGTTCGTGAGTTCAAGTCCCGCGTCAGGCTATGTGCTGACTGTTCAGAGCCTGGAGCCTGCTTTGGATTCTGTGTCTCCATCTCTCTCTGCCCCTTCCCTGCTCATTCGCTCTCTCTCTCTCAAAAATAAATAAACATTAAAAAAATAATAAAAAGTTCAGTGAGTGAGAGTTCACTAACAAATTATATATTCATGAATACAATCTTAACCTGTCCAAATCTCTCCATACCTCAGTTTTCTAATAGGAGGGTAAAATTAAATTGACCTAAGTGAATTTCTGTGAACATTGAGAGACTGAATACACAGAGCAACAAAGGCCAGACCATATGTAAAAACAGAATGCTAACCCACAACCTCTACACCAACCAGCCTAGGAAGCCAAACCACCACCTGTGCAGTAATCAGCCAGGAACAGTAAGGACTTTGTCAATTACTGCCAGCTTCTCCAGTACCTGCCTGCACTTACAACTCAGGACCAACCAGAGAAAGCCAGATAAACCCTTCAAACCAATCACGTAGGATATCTTGCTCCTGGTTAGCCCACCTCCAGCTTCCCCATGCAACAGCCTCCAGTCAGAGCATAAAGTCTTCTCTTTTTTTCCCATTAGAAAACGTTCCCACTCCCTTATCTCCCTTGGAGTTTCTGCCCTTCACAAATGATAGTGGCGACTCCCTTGCTATTGTAAGCGCTGAATAAATAGCCTCTGTTTATTTTCATTGGGTGGTTTTTGTATCCACAGCATTATAACTGAGGCTAAAAGTTCAGCACCAATTTTGAAATTCCATATATTTTTATTAGTGTTATTATTGTGCAGAAAAAACAGACATCATGATCATTAAGGCTCACCCATGCGACCATCTGCTTGTGATGGTATACTACTTTTCCACCAGGCATATAATCCAGAAGCTTGTGATCAATCCAATTCTCTCCCTTACATCATTACCGCAACACAGATTCTTCGACTACTTTGAGTATTCCAGCTGCTTAATCTCTCTTATTTTCCCTTCTTGCCATACATTTTTCTGCTTTCCATTTTGTCTGAATTACAATGGCTAGCATTTTAGTAATTCTTTAGTCAATATTCTCATTAACCTTAAGTTTCATATACCTGGATAAACTCAGGGTAGACAAGTACCGTTTTTATTTGTTTTTTTTCCCAGAAACTCTCCTTCCTTTAAAAAGAAAGAGGGTTCCTTTCTTTTGAGAACTTGTTTGCCCACCCCATCCACATGTTTCAATAGATTGCAGACAACTCTAGTGGTCCTAACCCCAATGTGGATGCTGTAGGAACAGGCAGATGAACCAACTGGGATCCAGGAGATTCATCCCAGGGCATTTTTAGATTTTATTGTTAGCTACGAGGTTGGGAATTTATGAGTCCAGAGCTCTTGGCAATCATAGTTCTAGCCTAGTGGAATAAGCCAGTGTGAGAATGAGGCCCATAACTGGAAGGAAAAAGAAAGAGTGTATGCAGATTCCATTCACTGCTATCGGGAATAGAGAAGAAAGAACAAACTCTGAGGATTTAGTGACAAGTTAGTTGAGTCTGAGGTTATGTCCAATCTGAGGCAAGAGCAGAAGAGAAAAGGCTGGGTTGTGTATAAGAACTGTGACAGTTACCAACATAATGGGACTTAACCCAGGTAAATCGGTAGATTAATGTTCAGACTCATAGTTTTGATAGTTCTGGAAATTAGCTGGATATGGTTAATAATAAAAACCTTAATAGTGCAATAATAAAGTGAGAAGTATGTATTCAGGATTAAGAAGTATTATACATTCAAGATAGAAGTGCACTAGTCTCACATATAAAGTCTAGAGTATAATTTAACATAAACTAAAAGCTCAAAATCCTTCAGGTTGTTGGATGTGTCTCACAATTGGCCATTCATTTGTCTTTGAGTTTTTAACTTTGGTAAGTGATGTCCTAAAATCTATTTGCCACAGTAGGACCAAGAAATGACTGGGCGGGGGGGGGGAGGATATCTCTTAGAATGCTACATTTGGGTCAAGATGCCCAGACAAATCATGCAATAGTAAGTAGGCCTGGGAGGTTACCAAGTCAACTGACAAATATTTACTGAGCATTCAAGAATGTCGAGAAAGCAATTGAAAATGCTTTGAATTGGAAGTTGAGGACACCCTTAGTCTCCTGGATTTTAAGCTTCCTAATTTTCAGGCCTTGGCCAAGTCATCTATCAGCTGTGTGCCTCATTTTCCTCATCTGTAGAAAGGAAGTGTTACTGTGGAGCATCTTATTTGAGGTGCTGTAGGACAAATAAAATTCCCAGCCCTAAATAGGGTGTGCAGTATTTGGGCAGACACTGGACAGATAAAATATCAAAAGAAAAACAGATAGCAATTCAAAATAATACTACATGAGCCACCACAAGGAGGCCTTATAAGCAAAATAAAAGGTAGAAATAATTACTTTAAAAGAATAAGAGCCTAGGGATGCAGTTCTAGACAGTGTGAAGTACAGCTGGGTGGCCAGTGGAGGGAGACTTTACACCCCTTCCCCACGCCACGGGGATTTTTCTCAAACTCGCCGAGTGTCAGCCTTACCACACTGATTAAGGATTGACCCGAACGGGCTGTAACTTGGGGCGCAGGCCTGGATGCTGCCGGGGGAGCCGTGCAGGCGGCCAGGAGCAGCGCGCAGCGCCGACTCACCGACTCCGCCCGTCTCCCAGCGCCGCCCCTGCCCACCCCGCCGCCTCGGCGGCGCCGGCCGAGGCCCTCCGGGTCTGTTACCCGGTGTCCGGGCAACCGCGGGCGGGAGGCGGCGCCCCTGGGCGCGCGCTCCCTGGGCCTCCCAGGCGGGTGGTGTGCCAGCTCTGCGTTTCCGCCGCAGACCAGCCCACGTGGGGGCTCGAGCGCCTGGCCCCCCCGCGTGCGGCCACCTCCGCGCGCTTTTCCTTTCGTAACCTACTTGCCCGGCCAAACTGCTTCTCTTTACTGAAGAGGGAGGTGTGGGCCCGAGTCAATACCTTTCCCACAGTACCTATTGCGAGAATCAAGGGATCACAGCCTTCAACTCGAAGATAGGAGGACTTTGTTTCTTACTCTCCAAAGGTGGTTTCTGGTATCCTCGTTATCATTTCTATCAAAGGGAAGCCTTCCAGCGTGTTTCCTTGCCCCTTGGTACAAAACAAGAAAGACTCTAAGTGGTAAGCTCCGTTTGCTTTGGTTGCTGCTTCTAAGGTGACTTTACTATTGAAAAACCTGAACAAACTATTAGGGACGAAAGGAAAACTTTGTGTGACCGGAGCTTGAGGTGGGGAAAGCAATGAATTCAAGCCATTTGTGTAAGGGTCTATTTCTAATAAAAACCAATTTTTAAGCACGGTCCGTCTCACAAAGCATAAAATATTTGTTTCGTCTTCAGGGAATATAAATACTGTGACCTGAAATAGCCCTTAAAAACACTAGGGCGTCACCAGCTAGCCTTCTTGGATGAAACCAACCGCTAGATGATAAACTAAAGATAGTTTAAAATACAGCATCAGGATAAGAATTAGCATTCTTGGGGCGCCTGGGTGGCGCAGTCGGTTAAGCGTCCGACTTCAGCCAGGTCACGATCTCGCGGTCCGTGAGTTCGAGCCCCGCGTCAGGCTCTGGGCTGATGGCTCAGAGCCTGGAGCCTGTTTCCATTTCTGTGTCTCCCTCTCTCTCTGCCCCTCGCCCGTTCATGCTCTGTCTCTCTCTGTCCCAAAAATAAAATAAACGTTGAAAAAAAAAAATTAAAAAAAAAAAAAAAAGAATTTGCATTCTTACACAGACAAATCATATTTCCAGGCAACACTGAGAACAGGCAAAGGCCTGCCAAGGTTAAGTGATCAAAATCTATTACTTTAAGATGCAATGCAATTAGTAATCCTTTACAGTGGTGGGAAATCTGCAAGGCCATACCTGGAATAAGATCATTCCAGCCATAGATGTAAAAGAGGAAGCAATAACAAGCAAATTAGAGAGAGGTCTTAATCTTAAATTAATATATGCAGAAGCAGAGCTCTTTTTGTAATTAAAAAAAAAAAATAGATTCCAGAATGCACCCTCCACTTCCCCATCTCCTTCCATTAATTATTTAAATTTGACATGTTAGCAATACAATGTTAAATTTAAACCAAATGAATCATTTGCATGCCAGTAAATATATATTCATGAGGGTTCAAAGTATTTATGTGAATATATTAAAACAATACCTAGATTTTTCCCCCAGAACAAAACTTTACCTACTAGAAACTTCATTCTTGACAGTTTTCTCTTAATTGATTAGAACTCATTGATAATTGCTATATATATATTATGATAGGCAGAATTCTGAGATGAATTCCAAGGACCCTACCTCCTGGTATATATGACCTGCCTAGTCCTCTGGACTTTGAATATGATGGATTTTATTCTTTTCATTAGCTTGCTATATGATACAATTGACTTTAACAAGGGAGCCGATCCAGAGTGGCTTGAACCTAATTGGGTGAACTATTAAAAGGAACTGGCCTCGGGTCACCTGGGTGGCTCAGTCAGTTAAGTGTCCTACTTTGGCTCCGGTCATGAACTCATGATCTGTGAGTTCGAGCCTCGCGTCAGGCTCTATGCAGACAGCTCAGATCCTAGAGCCTGCTTCGGATTCTGTGTCTCCCTCTCTCTCTGCCCTATCCCACTCATGCTCTGTCTGTCTGTCTCTCTCTCAAAAATAAATAAACATTTAAAAATATTAAAAAATAAAAGGAACTGGCCTCTTCCTGGGGTCAGAGATTTGAAACATCAGAAGGATCTGACACAAGGCATATTCTCCATCATCAGCTTTGAAGATTGAGGGACCATGTGGCAAGGAGCGCAGGCAGCCTCTCAGACCTGAGAATGACCCCAGCTGACAGTCAGCAAGAAAATGGAGACCTCAGTCCTACAACCTCAAGGGACTGCATTCTACCAACAATCTGCATAGACTTGGAGGAGGACTGTGCTCCAAATGAGAATGCATCCTGCCAACACCTTTGATTTTGGCCTGTAAATCTCTGAGCAGTCAACCTCTCTTGGGCTTCAGATCTACAGAATTATGAGCTAATAAACGGTTTTACATTTGGGGTAATTTGAAATAGAAAACTAAAACACCTATTAACGTTGAATAAATGAAAGTGAGATTTTTAAATACAGGAATATCTCAGTAATTCAGGGAAGGATTGTAGCCAAAGTTCAAATAAGACAGAAATCAGACACTGTAAAATTAAATCAATGCCAGATCAATTATAAAAAAATAACAGGTAGATAAGGTCATCTTATTAGCAAATAGAAAAACAGATTTTCTACAAAAATAGAACAGAAATAGCAGATTTTTCTATAGCCACAAGAAAAGATAAAGACCAGCGTGACATATCAACAGTACACAGAGTAAATAGATCAAATAAAAATACATTCCCTGCAAAACTATCATTCAAGAATGAGAGCAAAGAAAACCGTATTTTGAAATAGCAAAAGTTTATCATTAGCGGACCCATACTGGATGATGTACTTCGGGAAGAAAGAAAATAGTAAAGATATTGTGAAGATATATGGTTAAATCTAAACAGTCTTCCATTGTATGAGAACATGTCAACTATAAACTTGTTCTCCAATTGTTCATGGCTTTCTCTTCCTAATAAGCCTTTATCCAATTAGTCTTTAAGATCTGTGCATGAAACTGTTTTAATTTATCTCCGACCCTATTAGACCATTTCAAGAATTAGATTTAACAAGAGAGTGTTTGGGCCCCCTTTTTAACTTACACCAGAACTATTTAGAGCTGCTTTTATATTAAATAAATGCATTACCACACCTGCCATAGAGAATTAGCTGGATTCTTCTATTTATTGATAATAATGATGTATTAACATGGACCAGCAGGGTCCTCAATAGACAGTTGGAACCAGTATTTAATTATATCTGAAAAAGTGACATGATATCAATTTCTCTAAATTAAACATTATTGTGTTTGGCAAGACATTCTCCAAAATTCAATTTGCTTATATCAAATTACTTTTTACAGCAGCTTGATTCAGTTTTATATTGTAAGTAATTCACACTGATGTACAATGAGAAAGTAAGAAGTTCAAAGGGAGCATTACTAATGTTTCTCTATAATGGCATATAGTTTAAAATATTTTAAGACCAAAACCATTTTGCTCCATCATCAATGGTGTAGAATTTGGAGACAATCTTATACCTATTCATGTGCTAAAGACTACTGTTACAGCTTTCTAAAGTAAATCTTCAATGATTCTAAATATTAAACATTCCTACAGATACCCTGGTTGTCACCCTGTTTGAGGTTGTGGTCATTTATTCAGGCAAGCTGTCCCTGCATTTTCATCACAAGATTCCACTCATCTCATCTACTTGTCATAACGCATATGGATCTGCTTTCAACCCATGTACTTTATAGAATACATACAACCCAGTACTTCATCAGAGAATATAACCTCAAACTCTCTCTGGGCAGTTTTATCAAAGTTTGCTTGAAAGGACACTATTTACAAAGTGTATGTTGTTTTAAAGAGGCAGAATTTGGAGCCTTTTCTGCGTGGTTTCAGGTATTTTCCTGAATCAGGTGCAACCAACATCATTACCTATTTGAAAATTATTAGCTTCCCATGTAATGCGGTCATTTTTACAGTTAACGTTACTCTTTCAACTTTTATCAAAGGGAGCTTTCGGGGCGCCTGGGTGGCGCAGTCGGTTAAGCGTCCGACTTCAGCCAGGTCACGATCTCGTGGTCCGGGAGTTCGAGCCCCGCGTCAGGCTCTGGGCTGATGGCTCAGAGCCTGGAGCCTGTTTCCGATTCTGTGTCTCCCTCTCTCTCTGCCCCTCCCCTGTTCATGCTCTGTCTCTCTCTGTCCCAAAAATAAATAAAAACGTTGAAAAAAAAAATTTTTTTTAAAAAAAGGGAGCTTTGATTAAAAGATATATGAAATGTACCACTACGTTAATGGTAGATAATACTGTCCATCATATCACTCAATGGATCTATACAAAATGATGGATAGAAAATTAATGTGTGTATGCAAGAGAGAGAGAGAGAGGTTTAGTGGGGTATCAGGAGAGATCTGACAGGCAGTTGTTTAACCCAAGGAATGAGTGCAAACCATGTATAAATTATGAGATGTATGTAGCTATTCAGTTTCTCTTTTTATCCTAATAGACATTAAGCCTAATTGTAGCAACCTTGTTAGCCCTTTGGTCTTTATTTTCTACTGTCATTTACATTGCATTAGCTTTCATTATATATTGTGTTGCACATGACTTTAAATTTGTTGTGAGAAAAAGTTAGTTATGTAAACGTAAAGCAAAAGTGAATATGAAGGGAATGCTTAATAAAGATATAGCCTGTAAATTTCATGTAATTTAATAAGCTTGATTATCAACACTAATTTCTTCAGTATTGGGGGGAAATTAAGTTATAATTTTATTTTTTAAATATTTTAATTTTTTAAACTTTTATTTATTTTGAGAGGGGGAGAGAGAGAGAGAGAGACAGCGTGTGGGCACAAGCGGGGGAGGGGAAGAGAGAGAGGAGGGGAGAGAGAATCCCAAGCAGGCTCCACATGGTCAGTATGCAACCAATGTGGGGCTTGAGCTCAAGAACCCTCAGATCATGATCTAAACTGAAATCAAGAGTCAGCTGCTTGATCAACTGAGCCACCCAGGTACACTTTAAATTACGGTTTTGTAAGACAGCCATGATTTCATATGATCCATAGCACTGTCTTAGCACATTTAGATATTGTCTGTAAGATAGCATTGACTATGGCATTGAATCTAGTGCTCTAGAATTGATAATAATAGTGAAAAGTACCAGACTTGCAATCTGCTAAAGGCATAGTTTTCACATCTCCAACCTCTCATGGAAACAGACCTAAGTAGTATAGTGAATAATTAATCTGGTGGTTTTGGCATATTACCTATGCCAGGATCTGTGTCCCAGCTGCCCACACATAGCAGCCCTTTCAGTGGCAGCCACCAATCTAGGTTTGATCATCTTTACTTCTTTTGAGTTGTTCTTACCTCTCCCACAGGGTAACTTCTAGTCAGTCTTCTGCTGAGAAACTTTGTTCCGTTGCCAAAGCAAGTCACTTAAACATGAGATGGATGGTTGGATGGATAGGTAGATAGATAGGCAGGTACATACATATATACATATCATGAGCAGGTATCATGAATTACCTTTCACTGGAAAAAACTGAGAGGGGGAAAAATCTCTTTGCTCATGGCTTTGTCTATGATCAATGGAATCATCACTTGCTAATCTCTTGGACAGATACTATCCTCTCTTTTTTAAATGAAACTGTGGGGGCATCTGGCTGGCTCAGTCGGTAGAGCACACAACTCTTGATCTCTGGGTCATGAGTTCAAGCCCCACATTGGGCATGGAGCCTACTTAAAAAAAAGGCAACAACAACAACAAACAACAGGAGCGCCTGTGTGGCTCAGTCAGTTAAGCATCCAGGTCTTGATTTCAGCTCAGGTCATGATCCTGGGATCGTGGGATGGAGCCCCACGTCAGGCTCAATGCTGCACGTGGAGTCTGCTTAGGATTCTCTCTTTCTCTCTCTCTCTGTTCCTCTACCCTGCTCAGGCACTTCCTCTCTCTCTTTAAAATAAAATAAAATGTAAAACAAAACAAAACAAAACAAAGAGCTGCTATTTGGAACAGGTTATATGACTTGCCCAGAGGCACAATTAGTAATTGGTGGAATAATATTCAAACAAAATTGTGACTAAAATCAGTGCTCTTCACAACACACGACTGAGGGAGTCCATTTTATAGGAATATATAAAACTCATCCCCAAATAGGTAATTAATTATTGTTTCTTCTACATATTTACTTGTGAATATTTCACATATTTCACAGTAAATTATCTGGTCATGATAATCACCAGGAGATGGAGGAAGAGAGTCAGAAAAAGAGGACTTGTTTTCCTTAGTTGGTAACCTGTCAGGCAATTGATGGAATACTCAAATGAGGACACTGAGGAAAACTTAATAAAGGCACTGTCTACACAGGGCAATACCCAGGAAGCAGTGTAGATTTATTTGAAAGTAAATTTAGATTAGTCACAAATGTATACTGAAAACTCTAGGGTGACCTTTAAAAATGTTTTTAAGAATTATATTTGATATCATAAAAGAGAAAACAGAATCATACAAAATGCTCAATTAAAACCAAAAAGGGAAAAAAATTTGAAAAAACCCCAAAAAGTGATAGAAACAAAGGGGAACTTAAAAAAAAAAAAAAAAAAGAAGAACAAATGAAACAAACCGAAAGCTGACACTCCCTGACTTTAAGGACATAATAATTATAATAATCAGGACAGCATCGTATTAGTGAAAGAATAAAAGAATAGATCAAGGTACAGAATAGAGAATATACACATAGACCCAAACAAATAGAGTCAATTAATTTTTGACAGAGGAACAAAAGCAGCTCAGTGGAGAAAGCTAGTCTTTTCAACAAATGGTCCCTGGAACTGCTAGACATCCACATGCAAAAATAAATAAATAAATCCAATTACTTGCCTTAGACTTTCATGATAAATTAGCTTAAAATTTATCATAGACCAAAATGACAATTTATTATTATTTTTTAAATTTTGGGGATGATGACTTTTTAGATACAACACAAAAGTATGATCCATGAAAGACAAAAGTGGTAAGTTGTACTTCGTTAAAATTAAAACCATCTGCTCTTCATAAGATTCTGTTAAAAGAATAAAAAGTCAAGACACAGACTGGAAGAAAATACTTTCAAAACATATCTGATAAAGGGCTTACATCCAAAATATACAAAGAACTGTGAAAACTCAAAAACAAGAAAACAAGCAACTCATTCAAAAAAAGAAAAAAAGGCCAAAAGATGTAGGTGTGATACCTGTGAAAGGAGAGTGGTAGGCCAAGCCCCTGGCTGTTCTTCAGCTCTGAGAATGTCTCAGCCAAGCCAATGGGGAGCTCCGGGGGGGAGGGGGGGGGATTTGGAATTTGTCCATTTTTGGGGCAGAATGTTGGGCAGAAATGGCCTGACTCTAGTGTCAATGCCAATCTACCGCTTTCATG